ATGCAAAATATTTACAACAAAGTTTCTTTCCACAAAAAATTGTGTAGTTAGCATACAAATTTGTAGTTTGGTGCCTCAACTTATTTACTGTGTCTTTGGTTGGAACTTTTATTAATATTTCAAAATTCATGGACTCTGGAGACCTACTTAAATATTGCAATACTTGATGCTGTCTTCTGTTTTTTGTTATAATAGGAAGTAATTATCTGCTATTTCATAAATTCACTTTTCAAAATTTAGAAGTGATTATATTTTCCACACATTAATAAAACTAGTTTTATAAGAACAACTAAATAACTGTACTAATTAAAAGTTGATAGTTTCTTTTTGTTTTACTCTCTGCTTTCTCCTAAAGTCATAGTCCTCTCTACCATGAGGGTTCAGTGTAAAGAGTGAGCCATTTGAATCTGGTTGGCTTAGAGAGTACAGAAATCATCTTTGCCACAAACCATCATTCCTACAATTTTTGACAATACCTAAATATGCTGCTGTGATTAATCTCTCAGATTAAAAATCTGAAGGGCCCTGGTAGTTTAGAAATAAATTAATTTGAGAGCAATCCATGAAATAGGTTTTATTGCTTTAATAATTTTTGCAGTACCCAAATAGATCAGTTATTTACAACATCTACTGAAAAAGTATTTCTCACTTGTGGAAGGCACCAAAAAATAAATTACTGAATAGTTTCACTGATAGAAGGAATGTAGGGGATCCAAATAAGGGTTCAGGAAAAAAAAATAACTGTAATAAAGTAAAAGCCAAAATCTATAGGCAGTTATAAATCAGAGTATTCTGCAGTGTTGGAGAAGGGGAAGGACCAGGACAGGAACGGAAGAGCACAATAGACTATGGTGATGGTGCACAGGGGAATTAGTGATGAGAATTTTTTTAAGGACAACTTCCAAGACCATAAGGCATACATTGTACAAAAATGAAGGAGGATATAAAATAATCAAAAAAAAAAAATAGAACTTAAAAGAAGAAAAAAATAAATTTAATATGATTAAATCATAAAACTTAATTCTACGCATTTATTTATCAAAGTTTCCTCATTATTTTTAACATGTATTTTTTCATGTTTATAAGAGTAAAAATGACAAACCATGTAAGAAGATATTTAGAAAACACTAATAAACATAAAAAATAAAATAAAAACACTTGTCATATAACTCAGACATCAAACCCTATTGTAAGTTTTTTATACATTTACCTTTTATGGTATTTTATATAAGGATTCCTTCCCAATTGTGAGAACAGTTTAGACAGATATTTGTATTTTTGCATCCTTGTTTTAGAAAGTTCTACATAATTAGCAAACCATATTATATTGACTTTGTTCATGTTTTGAAAATTTACTTACTAAATTTTACAAATGTGGAAAAAAAAACACGAGTTATGTACCCCATAGAAATTATATGCTGCTTTCTCTCTGTATCTCTAACATGTTTAAAAATATTATCTTATTATACAGCAGTGAGATAGAGGTATGTGTTGACAAACAACTGTGCTACTTCATTTTTATCAGTCCTTAAGATGCAATTTCCTCTCATAGCCTGGCAATAATTTAGCAGAGGTGCCAGAAATATTTTACTTTTCTGTGTCTTAGATAGGTATTTTAAAGATATTTTATCAAGGATATTAAATAAATCACATTACAATATATATTTCCCTAAATCTCTGTATTCTTTTGTAAAATACCTAGGGCAACACATTTTTATCTTTACTGAAAAGTTCTTTTTAGGGCTCTTGCTAGTAGTGCAACAGGTTAAATCACAGCATTATTAAACTCTCCGAAGCCACTGCAGCACAAATTCTATTCCCAGCCAGGGAGATGACCCACATGGCATGTCAGACCTCTTCTGACTCACCTGCTGTTCCCCTCAGCAGTGTACTCTGTCAGTCTGCCTGTTCTGCTCCCCACTCTCTGTCTCTGATGAATCTTTTTACCCACCACACGTCTTGTCTGTACCCCAGTTCTGTAAGCATAAATAAATAAATCTTTAAAAAAAGTTCTATTTAACCCCATCACCGACTTTGGTATTTTTCTGTAACCTTAAAATTTCCATTTAACCAGTGTCATCATGTTTTACGTAATGCAAATAAAATATAGTAATAATATCAATATTCAAAAGTAATTAATACAGGACCTCTCTGGTGGTACAAGGGGTTAAGTCTCAGTACTATGATGCAATCTAAAGCCACTGCAGCATGAGCTTGATCCCAGGCCAGGGAGCTGACCCACATGGTACAACAGATTTCTCCTGTCTCGCCAACTGTCTCCCTCAGATGAATTGCAGTCATTCCACCTGTTCTGCTCCCTATTTTGTCTCTGGTGAATCTTCTCACCCTCCCTGTACTTCTATCCCTACACCCCAACTCATACCTATATTAACAAGTATTTAAAAAGCAAAAGTCGTCAATCCATACATGGCTTGATAAAATGTGAAAAGAATATCCAAATATCCGTTTGTTAACCAGATTACTATTTAGAGTAGTTTACATCTTTCCCATTGTGACATAAAGTTTTGATTTACTTATTAAGTGTGGACATTGGTTTTCAGTTCTGTTTGCTGTAATATAGTGATCACAAAAATATACACTTTTTTGTTGAATGTTTTGTAGATAGTTGCCCTACACAAGTATTTATTTGTATCCTCATACTGTATTTTTATTTTTTCTCTCTTGTGTGTGCTGTCATTTTTAATATTTGCATCTTTTTATATTGGCATGAGAGTTAATTTATTCTCTCAAGTATTCAAATGAGTACTAGGCCAATGACTATCAGCTTATTATTGTCAGTTTAATTGTACATCTTCATTTCTTCATTCCTTAGATTATACTTTTTTTTTTGCCTAAAAAGACCATGTTTATCACTGGATGACAGCAAGACAGCTATATACTGAATCTGAATTAATACCTGTATAACAGATGCATGGCGATCAGTTGTTCACAGACATTGAAAGAAGCAGTTTGTGTTTGTCATTGATCATGATGCATGTTTCTACATGCATATTTATTTGAGGACAGAAAGGCTGGTTAGGTGTCTGTACTTAAACAGTTACTCATGATTGTTATGCCATATTAAATAAATTTGAATAAATATTTTAGGGTTACTGGGTGATGACTAAATCATGTAAGTGAAATTTGTTCAGATTAGAATCATATAAAATGGGTGCTAATTAATATTTAGATTTACTAGTTGTTAAGAGACTATAAATTAAAACTACACTGTGACATCACTGTATTTTGGTAGAAAGTGCTATCTTAGGCAAAATTCCAAGGTAATATGACTCTAGTCCTTTATAATCTTCTTCCACTAGGAAGATTAGACGACATCCTTGCTATAATTATATTACATTACATGATAAAGGGGTTTTTCCAGATGTAATTAAGGTCACTAACCAGCTGACTTTGAGGTAATTATGAAAGGATAATTTGTGAGCCTAACTTAATCACAAGAGCTCTTACAGAGCAGAGAATTTTTCCCACCTATAATCAGAAGAAGAAATCATAGAGATTTAAAGCATGTAATAGACTCAAGAGGAATGCTTTACATTGATGAGATAGACCATTGGTTACTGAACTGTTGGTAGCTTCTATAAGATGAGCAATGCCTGGCCAATTACTAACACTATAAAAGTGACTTAATACTGCAACTTCAAGGAACCAAAGTCTAGTACAGATCTAAGTGGGCTCTACTTGTTTCTTCTAGAGATTCTAGGTAAAAGTATAGCCTGACTGAAAAATTAATGTTGGCCTATTAGAGCTCATCAGAGAATGTAGTTGATACCATCTGTACATTTCACTAGTAAGACTGCAGTAATAGGTATTGTAGGCTATTATTTTTTTGTTGCTATTTATTTGTTATGCAGCAGTAGAAAATCAACACAATATTAAAAATTAGAAGGAAAAATCTGGCAAAACCGTGTTTGTACAGTTATTGAACAATCAGTTCAGAAAACTGGCAATTATCTACTAAAATTGAACATAAAACTTGAACATATCCTAGGAGAAACCAGTGTTTTTAGAATCCTTTCCACTATAAATCTATTTGTGTATCAAAAAAAAGAAGTACAAGAAGAATTATAGATGTTTTATAATAACTCTAGACTAGACAAAAATTCCAAGTGTTTAACTAATAAAATGTATTGATATATGCTGTACATTCATTTAATGGAAATTTACCCTTGAGAGTGAACAAACTACTGATACATGAATAAATCTTAAAAACCTGTACTGAAGGCCCTCCCTGGTGGCACAGTGGGTAAGAACGGCCCTGTGAAGCTATAGCTGTCACTGCAGCACTAGTTGGATCCCTGCCCAGGGGGGTGACCCACATGGTGTGGCAGACTTCTCCTGATCCAACTGCTGCTCCCCTCAATAGTGTATTTCAGTTGATCTGCCTGTTTTGCTCCTGACTCTGTCTCTGGTGAAGTCTTTCACACCGCCCCTACCTCTGACCTGTACACTAGTTCTCTGTGTATAAATAAATAATATTGAATACAGTATGTCACCCATGACAGAATACACAATGTCACCTCATTTATATAAAGTACACATATAGGCAACATTATCTGATTTTCTAAGTGTTATTAACAGTGAAATTTGGAAGCTATAAAAGTGACTGAGAAAGGTTACCATAAGGATTAGGGTGCTGTTGATGCTGTATATATCGGACTTAATGATAATTAAATAACTAGATAGACAGTTAATTTAACTGTATGTTCTGTGTATCACTCATTCTTAAATTATTTTTGATGAACTACTAAAAATTGTTGGCAGCACCTTTCCCACTTGTAGTTCAAAAAGAACTGTCCAATTGCCATACAGTGAGTCAGCAGAAAGTCTTAGAGTAGAATGTGCTAATTAAGGATAATTTTAGTGATGAGTAATGTTGTAGTTGAATTGTTTCTTCCATTTGACTGAAAATTTATGAAGGTAAAATGACAGTACTCAAAAAGTAATTTTGCTTTTTACAATTAATTTTTCCAATAAAACAGTTTGCCGGGAGGACTCATACCATTCTGTAGTCTCATGTGCTGCTGTGGTGCTCACTCCCATGGAACCAACAATAGAAATGAAGAAAAGAGAGGAACTAAAATTTCCTGAGTCTTCAAAACAGTAAGTTGCTTATTTAATTTTGCAGAGCTTTGTGCTAAGAAATAGTGTAAGAAATGTGTTTGTACTATTATGCTGAAAGGAGATAAAAGTTTGTGAGTTAAAATAATCACTCTTTCCTATATTACTTCAGTGAATAACTTCTGCATCTTCTAATTCCATGTGTTTGAACTACTCACATCTCATGTTGTCGCCTAAGGCACATGGGTCTACAGGATGAATCACTTTTTCCTTTGCATCTCATCAGTGTACTGTCCTTGGATTAGTTCTTTCTTCATTGTTGGCTTTAGTGGTCCAAAGTACATTTTTTCCCTAAAATAACAATCTTAGCTTATAGTTGGTTTATAAAATATGAAAGGAATTTTAACTCATTTTATGATCTCACATTAAAATGTGTACTACTTAATATTTCCATATTTTTGCCTTTTAAGTAGATCAAGTTTTATTTATATTGAAAATTGATTTATATTGATTAAATACTAGATTTTTTATAATGCCTAAAATAGTAAAATTCTTCTGTAAGATACATGTGCTTGCAATATTAATCTAACTAGGATTATTCTAGTTATACATCAATAAATGAGAAAGCAAAATCTGACTATTTTCCAGCAGAAATATGGCAGTTTCTGCTTTAAAATATTATGTTGGAGACAAGGGGGTACATAGTGTTGCCAAGCATTTTCCTTGATTACAACACGAACCTGTAGGAGTTAACATCGAGGTAATTATTGTATCTATTATTTTCCCCCACTGGATTACACTGGATCATCACATTGTTTCTTAATAGCATTCTATTGGATATGCTCCTAAAACAGTTTCCTGAAACATGACAATATCTGATACTCTGTGAAAACAGATGATCTCATACTGTTGTTTTCAAATACAAAGCTGCGTATATTAGATTGCATGCAGATATTCAGTATTAATATTCTCACTATAGAGAAAAGGAATACTAACCAATTCAGTAAACTGTGATTCTAATTTCATTTTAATACAGCTTACTCTGAAAACAATTTAAGTGTTCTTAATTTAAGTGTTCTTAACATAAAGTAATTTTTAAGTACCAAAAACTATTTTTCATATAAGGGGTATCATGTCTCATATTGATACTAATTGAATTATATTGGAAAACTCAAATTAATTTTCCTTCATTATCTGTGTGAGTTAATGTAACTTATATATATGATTAGGTCTTAAAATTTTAAAGTCATCTTTCAGTGAATCTGTTTAAGCTGTAGTGTAGACTTCCCTAATAAAATGCCTTTCTCCTCAAACTCCCCCAGTACGTAGCTTCTTCATAAATATTATTTATTCTGAGATATGATTTAAAATAAACATTTTCAAGTTATCCTATGTCCATTCTAATATATTTCTATATTCATTGAGTCTACTTTTTATTTGAATATTCCCCCATATGTTACTCTACTCACTTTCTGAATCAGAAAGAGCTTGTTTAAATATTAGCTTATTAGATGGAAAGTAGGGATTTTTACTTTAAACTTGGTCATCAGTCATTGGTCATATGGTCATTGTGAATATTACATGGAATGGCATTGTTAAAGTTTGAAGATCTAAAACTCCATCATAATATTAGTGATGTTTCTTCTTAGATAGCTTAAAAAATCAACTTTACCAGTGACATATATTATGTCCTTGAAGTTTCTTCTGAATACAAGTATATATAATTTGCTTACCCAACTTCATTTTTTCTATGAGAATATTACAATAATTATATTCTCAGCAAGTTAGTCTCTTTAAATTGTTCTTTCCTACTTCTACTTCTGTATTTATGTAATGTCCCCATGACCCTTTTATTTTCTTTAAACCTCAATGTTTTCTCCTCACATATCACATCAATTAATGTTGCTTAATTGATTTATGTGCTATCATATACTACTTACCATTTGAGCTGACATGAAGAACTTATACATGTCATATTTTATATTTTACATATATATTCAGTTTTGGTATGATGGAATCCTTAAAATGTGGTACTCTATCAAACTGAAATTAAATGTCCTACATAACTCATCCTATTATATTGAGAATTCAATAGTAGATGAGAATAAAGGGCAAGGATGTAGCATAGATATAAAGATACAGCGATTAGTTTAAAATTCAGAAAAATCAAGGGAAATTGCTGTTGTTGATCTATTTAATTAAAAAGTTAGGAGTAGACAGTTCCTCATTTATGGTCTGGTCTGGTACTTCGGTCATTCTTCCCTCTGCATCTCTATTCTGTTTCTGCCTGTAATTTGTATTTTCAAGTCTTTTAATGTTGACATTATTACCTTCAGCAGTAGCTGGTATAGGTTTGTATCTTTTCAACAAATACAGTGGAAATAGATTTCTCTTTCTCTTGAATAAAATAAAAAGCTGAAGTTTGAATTTCATTGACTTTAACTGTTTTAGCTTATTTGACATGACTATCCTGATGCAATTGCCGTGCTAGAAGTATAGAGTGATAACTAATTAGAACAAGATTATGAGCAGATTGTTTGAAAAGAGTGAAGTTGATCAGTGGAAGGTGATTAAGAATGTGAAATACAGGCCATATAGATAAAAGAAGAAAGGGATTGGTGCTAGTAACGTAAATAATGGCTTTTCAGTGTAGAGAGTAGTGTTCTTTCTGTTGTTGTATATATGTGTGTGTGTGTTTAAAGATGGCTTCAAGAGTGATAGATTTTCACATATTTGTTGATTCTTTTTGTAACTTATTTTTTGGAGGTAAGAATATTGTATAAATAACATAATTTAAGGAATTTGTTCATACCTCTTACCACAGCACACTTCCCCGCCAGAGCACCCATAAGTCATCTACCATACACCATTGTGTGCCCTCCTACCTTTATTCTATATATCCACACTTTGCCCTTTAGTAGCTTCAATACTGCAGTCTTTTATAATGAATATATTGGTTTATTTTTCCCTGTTCCTTTGTGTTGTTTATTTATATTGCACATATAAGTGAATTCATCCTGTATTATTCATCCTCCTTCTGACTTATTTCACCTAGCATAATATTCTCCAGTTCCATCCAAGTTGTCACAAGGCAGAATTTTATTACTCTTTAGAGTTGAATAGCTTACATTGTGTATTTATATCAAACTTTATTTAGTCATTCATCTGACCACTTAGAGTTCCATAATTTGACTATTATAAATAGCACTCTGCAATGAACATGAAAGTCATATGTACCTTTGGATTCATGTTTTTCCATTCTTTGAATAAATGTCTAGGAGTTGAATTTCTAGAACATATAGAAGATATACTTTGAATATTTTGAGATAACTGCATGCTGTTTTCCATAGGTGCTGAATCAGTTTATTCCCACCAACATTTTTTAAGGGTTCCTTTTTTTTCACCAGTATTTCACCAGTATTTCATATTTGATTGTGTTTTGTGTTATGGGTAATTCTCATAGGTGGTAAGGTGGTATATCATTGTGGTTTTGATTTGCATTTATTCAAATTAAAGTACAAAATTTAGTTACAAAATATCTACAGTTAGATATGATTTATTGATAGATCTTCAGATATAAATGTATGTGACTAAACCTAGAATATTGGTTTTAATTATACTATTGTATTAATATATTATTTTACAATATAAAAAATATATTTTGACATGACTATCCTGAAGCAATTGCTGTGCCAGAAGTGTAGGGTGATATAACTAATTAGAAATAGGTTATGGACAGATTGTTTGAAAAGAGAGTGGAGTTGATCAGGGTAAGGTGATTAAGTACATGAAATATAGGCAATATAGATAAAAGAAGAAAGGAATTGATGCTAGTAAGGTAGATGTGACCGAATTATTTGTGTCTTTTACAAACTTTTAGTAATAATCTAGTCATAGATATTCTTATTTTAACAGTTATTTTAAATATTATCATGTATTTTAGACATACTCAATAGGGAAAATAAGGGATTTCTAATTTAGTAAGAATGTATGAATTTTTAACATAATAAGTGAGAGGGAAATAGTATCTAAATTGTTTAGGAAGATAAGCTACATTCTAGGCACCCTAGTGACACAGAGTCAGAGCTTCTCTTTTGTTGACATATTTTAATTTAGAAACAAATGTGAGGGACTTTTTAGTGGCTTAGTGATTAAGTCTCAACACTATCCTGTGTTGCCTGAATTAGATTCCTAGCCAGAGAACTAACCCACATATGGCATAGCAGAGCTCTCCTCTTTTATCCTCTAATCCCCTTAGGAGTAGATTTCAGAAAATCTGCCTGTTGTGTCCCCCACATTCTGTCTCTTTTGAGTCCTCTCACCCTCACACTCCAGTTCTCCTATCTATAAATAAATCTTTAAAAAAATTGATATTTACAAGCCACTATCGAACACAATCAAATATGAAATACTGGTGATATTATTCAGAATACTTTTGATGGATAAATTTGATGGAAAAATGGAAAAAAAAAAAAACTTGTGTGATCCAAAAAGACAATGCATGATCATAGCATGTTGCGACCAAGACTTTGAATGTAAACTTTTATACATTCCTAATATTAGATGTATGTCCAGCCTAATGTATCATGTTACTCCAGCCAATACATTCAGTACACACAGTTATTTCCAGATGAAGACTTTATGGTGTGTACATAAGCAGCATTAAACTCTGAAGAAATGAAAGCATACTATTTCTGTGGCTGGCTTTGGCTTTGCATCTTGAAAATAAAGTTCTTAAAAAGAATATAACCAGTATATACAGATGTATATACTGATTTTCTGAAATGAAGGGACTTTATGGCCATTATATAAATGGAAATAATAGAGTTAAAAAGCAGAGAGAAAAAACATTCGTTATACTTGGCCCAAGTCCATGTTTTTATTCTATTTCATATAAGGTCATATAAACTTCGGAAGATTTAATTTGTTGTTTCACTTTGTGAAAATAAAGCATTACTTCATCAAGCTGTCACTTATGGCTTTGAGGTCCCTTGGCATTAAGGAACAATGGGAGAACTAGGTGAGGTATTTGCATCACACAT